ACTGGTGGTTGGTGCAAGTAAATTTGACCACATCACTCCAGTTCTGGCTCACCTCCAGTGGCTTGCCTTGCTGTCCCAGATCAGGTTGAAGGTTTTGACACTCACATACAAAGCCCTCCATGGTTTGGGACCATGTTATTTGTTGGAGTGTCTCTCCTTAATGTCATCTGCCTGACCCACAAGGTCATCCTAGTCGAGACTCCTCTGCGTGGCTACCCCGAGGGAGGTTCATACATTCTCTACAAGAGGTAAGACCTTCTTTGTGGTGGCTCCCAACCTTATGGAACCAGCTTCTGGAGGAGCTCCGCCAAGCCCTCTTCCCTGTGGACTTTTAAGAAGCAATTAAATACATTGCGTTTCAGGGAGGCTTTCCACACCAGCCCCAGCTTGCAAAATGTGGAGGGGAGAAGCTGCTTTTTGCTATGCAAAGAAAGAAATGTTGATTTAGAAAAGGGGGTGTTTTATACATGGGGTATCTTATACACTGAAAAATATGGTATTTACTGGCAAAGTATAGCAGCTTAGTGCTGAATTTGTGACTGCTGAGTAAGAATAATCATCACTCTGGGGATTGGTGTTAGGCCAAAGGAAAACAAAGTTACTGCTTATTGTGTAAGTGGAAATCCATTTAGGATAGCACAGGAGATGAGATTTCTAAAAACCGCCCAGAGTAGTACCTTGACACTAATGGGAGCGGGATACAAATTGAATAAATGGATGGATGGACGGACGGACGGACGGACGGACGGACGGACGGACGGGCGGGCGGGCGGACGGACAAATAAATAAATAAATAAATAAATAAATAAATAAATAAATAAATAAATAAATAAATAAATAAATAAATATCTCACCATTTGCAAATTAGCTTGCTTTGTTTTGTGATTGATCTTCTGGACATGAGCATGATTTTCATCTGCAAGTCTAGTTTCTCAAAGTCAGCTTGAATTACTCTCTCAAACAGTAATCCTGGATTGCAGCTCTAATGATTGTTTGTGATGTATTGCTTGACATCCTGTGTCCAGCATTAAAGACCAGTTTTGAAAACAAGCTAGAGCAGAACCACCTCTGAGCCTCATGGTGCAGTGGTTAAACTGCAGTACTGCAGTCGAAACTCTGCTCATGAACTGAATTTGGCCCCAGCAGATTCAGATAGCTGGTTGAAGGCTGATTTAGCCCTCGATCCTTCTGAAGTTGATAAAATGAGTACCCAGCTCGTGGCAGGGATGGGGGGGGGGAAGCAATGTGTAGCCTGCATAATTAACTTGTAACCTGCCCAGATAATGCTTTAAGCACCATGGGGCGATATATAAGTAGCACATTTTGCTTTGCTTTTTTTTTTTTTAAGATCCCATCGATACTGGAGAAAGAACATGAACATCTTGAAGGCCTCACCAGTACTGGGAGATAGGGTCATCATGAGCTTGGGAGAGAAGCTCATAGAGATCTTGTTGTCGTTCTGTACCTTGAGCGCCTCTTTTACCATCTCCGAAAGGTTGGGGGTCTCTGTGCACAATTCTCTGAAGGCTTTCATTTTACACATCTGGACCAAGACTCTATGAGGAAGAAAAACCATAACTGGAATTCAGTGCCTTTCAAGCATGATTATTTTTCCCCTCCAGTTTTTACACAAACCTTTGGGATTTCTTCTCCCAGCCCCCATTTCCTATGGTACCTTTGTCACCTCCCTTCTAGCCAGATCTGCAGCAGTTATTAATACCATTGGCCATAATATCCTTGTGGGCTGACTCTCCAGAATGGCCTCTAGTCCTTTCTGGAGGAGCAGAAACAATCAGAGCCCATTCTGGAGAGGCATTTTCGGAAAGGATACTCCACATCCTCTGCCCCATCATTTGGTAAGTGAACCAGACCAGTTCAGATGTTAAGACCTTTTCCTTGACATCTTCATGAAAAGCAATAAAAAGGCTAAAGAAATCCATACGGAGGCAGATCTTGCTGGAAGGCAGATGAATAAATGGATATTTAATCCAGACAAGAGATTGGCCAACGGCCAATCTGGGTAGAAGTTTGTGACTAGTTCCAGATAAGAGACTTTATCTTTCCCTTAAGAGCCAGAGTCATAGCTTTAGTGCATAAAAGCTTGTGCTGAGAAAAATTTAAGCTGGGATAAATTTAAGAGTTTTTAAGTTGCCATGAAGCAATTTGCTGTTGTTAAAAAAAGAGAGATCTATTTTAATCCAGACCCAAACATTACCGGTATATCAAAATTATGTTTGTCCAAGATAATTCACTGCCATTTAATCAGGCAGACATGCTAATGAGTGCAACTACTCGAAGGTCACGGGATATCCTTCTAAGCCTAGGTCCATGAAGTCCGAGGGTGGCCCCTTCCCATAACTCACCTGAGCAGCAATTTTAGTCTCTGCGTCGATGTGGAGGCGGAAAGTGGGAAGACCATCCGGTATCTCCGGAGGACGGAAATCCCATAGGACAGTAAAGACCGGAAAGAGTCCTCCAGATCTGTTCTCTAAAGGAAGCAGCAGAATATGCATTTAGTTTGATGGGAAAGGTATGGCAGTGCTCAGTGCTTAAGAGCAATCTAATATGTTGCACAACATGTAAAAGGACAGCCTTTTACGAAAAGAGGAGCAGAAGCTACGCAGCAGACATTACTTCTCCCAGGACCTGACCCCGTCCCCCCAAGTCCTCTGCTGGTACATAGGAGGAGGTATCTGGCCAGGAATGAAACTGCAATACATAGTGTTAGTACAACAAGAGCAGCCATCCAATGGGCACGTTTTAATGCATGGAACTCTGATGTGTGTTAATGTGAAATGCAGATGAAATCGGAATCTTCTTCAGATTAACATTCACTCGTTTCAAGGCCATCCCTAGTTAGACTGGAACACTCCACCAGCCCTGCTCCTTTCCTGTCTCCTTCTCACCTGTTCAGGTCTTAATCGTCCTTGTAGCCACTGGTATTCTATGCTGATGATCTGGTGAAGCAGACAGGTGCTGTTGAACTCTAAGATTTGGTATAGCCTGCTGTAAACCAACCATTGTCTGCACCAAAGAGGAAAATGGAATCCCATTAAACGCGCAAATAAAGAGGACAAACTACCCATTAAATTGATGCCAATGCGCACTTAGAAAAGGAGGAGTATCAAAATTAACCTAGTTCCCCCTCCCGGCAAAAAACACAAAAACGTCCAAATGATGGGGTAAAAAATAAAACAAAGACAAAAACAATTTGTCTCTCTGCACAAATTGGTTTGGTTTTCTTAATTTCTCTTACTTGCAAAATTTAGATTTTTGTAGAAGTTGAACCATTGACGGGAGGAAATAAAATGATTATACAGCTTGCTTCTGCAGTAACAATAACCTGGAAAAGCTACACTGAGGGGATTGCCATCAGTGGGGTGGATATGACTTGGGCACTCCATACCACAGAGAACCCACTTCAGGGCAAAGGCCCAAAGCATCCCACTCATCACTGGGATTCTGGATCTGGGGGAGGAATCACAAGAGGGCTCTATGAGTTTTGTTAAAAAAAAAAAAAGCTCACTGATCCGACAACTGGGTCTGGAAGTTTTAATTAAACTCTGCAACATCTTTATGAAATTAGAGAAAATCCATTGCAGCTTTTAAAAAATACTTCAGGAACTGAGAATAGCACAGCTGGAAAAATAAATCATCAGGTGTCTTCCCAGCATTACACATTTAAGACAGTCTTTTTTCCCCAAGGAAGGGGCGTGGGTGGCGCTGTGGGTTAAACCACAGAGTCTCTGGGCTGTAAGGTCAAAAGATCAGCAGTTCGCATCCACGCAACAGAGTGAGCTCCCGTCGCTTGTCCCAGCTTCTGCCAACCTAGCAGTTTGAAAGCATGTAAAAATACAAGTAGATAAATAGGGACCACCACGGAAACTGTCACGCTAGCTCTACGGCTTGGAAACGGGGATGAGCACTGCCCCCTAGAGTCAGACACGACTGGACTAAATGTCAAGGGGGACTTCTACCATTCCCAAGGCTGGCAGGATAGCTCAGTGTCTAGTTGTGGAGCCAGAGGTTGGGAGTTTGATTCCCCAGTGTGCCTCTTGGGAAAAGAACCAGTCCTGTATAGCTATGGACAAGCTGCACAGTCACAGGGCATCCCCAGGAGAATGTTAAAGCACTTATGAGTATAGTAATACCTGTGTATCGACGGTGGGAGATCGGTTCCAAGCCGCCCCCCATGGATACTAAAAATCATGGTTCATAGTGAACCCTATGGTCTCTTGCGCCCTCTAGTGACCAGTTCTCATAACTACATCATGCAAATAAATGCTTCTGGGTTTTTAAAAAGCATTTTAAATATTTTCAGACTATGGAGAAGTATAACAATGGATACAAATCCTGTGGATACAGGGTTCCTACTCAGTAACTAGAAAAAAAATGGAAAGGATCACCATAACTCAGAATCAGCTTGATGGCACTGGATTATTATTATTATCCTATATTTCCTATATGCTCCTGCCATGGATGGAAGAGTGTAGGATATACTTACGCCAAGACCTGCTGGAAATCTGAAATATCTTTCTGCGTAGCATGTAGATACAGGATTGTGCTGGCCTGCTTGGTCAACTCTCCATCCCAGGAAGTACTGCCAGCCTGTTGAGAGGAAGAGTATAATGGCTGAAGAAAGAAGAGGCAGCAATCCCAAGACATGGCCATGTTGAGAAGTTCCAGCAGCCAGCTGTGTTTTTGCCCAGTTGTAGTGCTTCAGTTGTTGGCTCCACCATTTAACGGGGACAGATTACTGCACCACATGGGAGGAACTGGAGAATAACTGTGTCAAGGTCTCTATATAGATGCAGGCTAGTTGTTTATTCCCAATAATGCAGCTTGTCACCATCATGCCATGTAGCATGCCATGAGGAGAAACAAGGGGTGGCCACGGCGCCCCCTGCTATGCCACACTCATACTCTTCAACTTGCAAGAGGTGGCCATACGCAGCCTGCCCCAAATCCGCAAGTGGCCTATCAAGTTTATCTCCACATAAAAGTGCTGTCTCGATTTCTATCCGCAAGTGGCCTATCAAGTTTATCTCCTTTCCACATAAAAGTGCTGTTTCGATTTCTCCGTGGCCCATCACAGTGGCACGTTCCCATATGTAATGCACACACAGGCAAATATCCTAAAAGGCCATATGGCCAGAATTAAAAGTATGGCAGCCACTCTGGGCAGCTGGTACACAGGAAGAAGATGTTCCTCTAAAGAGCAGGTGGGCTTGTCTTCCTTGCCATTAAATCAACCATCTCATACTGAAATATAGTGGAGTAAGATAGTGAAATAAATATGGATTAATAAAATTCTCCCTACAGCAGCGAGGACACCTGACAGAAATCTATATCAGAGCGTGGTTACAATATTGAAATGTATCAGGTGATGGGTCAGAGTTTTTAAATTTGTTTTGCTTTTCCAGAGGGCAGCTGGACAGCGGTGGCAATAGTTGAGATGCGTGTTGGTAGCAGAAAGGGACTCTCTCGGCAGTGAAGAAGCCCCCACCTCTGCCGCCACCACCATCCAGCCACCCACTGGACATGCCGGCCTTGTGGGGAACAAAAGGCTGACTGCCTAGGAAGCCCTATGTACTTTAAAATAGTGGGCAAGATTTTAAAGTGTAGTGGGGCTTATGCTATACAAAGTGATGAAACCTGCTTCACATTTCACCGAGTTCTTTCTAGGTGTGAATTGTGGCCCTTACCTACATTTGTTTGTTACTCGCATACCTCCATCTTGAGTATACATATTACCCGCGTTAGAAGCACCAGAAGTATGTTACTGTGCAGAAAATTGTACTACTTTGCAGAGAAGAGAGAAAAGTCCTGTTGTTATCGTTTATCACATAATAAAAATCTGTAGGAGAGAGAATAGAAATCTTGCGAGCTGGGCTTCACTTTTCCATTACTTCTAATTTTTGAAAAAAGAACTGAACTCCATTTCTAGCTACTTTGCATTAGTTTTTGTCTACTTACTTTCATACCACATAAACCACAAGCATGTCCAAGACTGGTGGGCGTCCTTTAATTAACAGACCTGCTAGCCCCACAGCCAATTTGTTCAATCAGTTTACGGCATAAAATTTGGCATAGCTGCCAGAGATTTGACTGGACTCTACCTACGTTTGACTGGACAAGGAAAAGAAAATAGAGAAACAAATACAGATGGATAACTGAAGCCCAGGCAGCTAGCAGGTGGGCCCGGAAGACCTCTGAAATCATGTAGAGTAGCAATAGTGCAACAAGAAGATGTGTCGTTGCCATAGCATGCAGACAACGTGCATTACAAGTCAATACGTATATGTAGCTCACTGAGGTGGAGAAGGCTGGCAGTTATTTGCAGGGCAAGCCTCTTTTTTACCTGATGCTGAAGGAGGTCATATGAAACCATCTGCTGGAGAAGGTTCCGGTGGATTGTGTAGCTTGGCTGCTTTTTACTGGCTGAGGTGGCCCTCTGAAAATGCAACAAATAGGTCAGGGAACCAGCTTTCAAAGATGATGGATGGTCAGGTCTGAGTGGGCAAGAAGCTCCCTTTCTCTAAAGATGAAGTCTTTCACAATGCCAGAGAAGTTTGGGAATGCTCTCTATCCAACAGTGAGATATTCCCCAGGTGCAGAAACACAGTGGCAAACAAGGTGTAATTTCATCACTTTTTCTATCTCCTTCTCACATAAGAAAAGCCCAGCTGGATCAGGCCGAAGGCCCATCTAGTCTAGTTTCCTGTACATAAGGTGTAATTTCATCACTTTTTCTATCTCTAGTTTGCTTTCACATAAGAAAAGCCCTACTGGATCAGGCCGAAGGCCCATCTAATCCAGTTTCCTGTATCTCAAAGGGGCCCCACCAGATGCCTGTGGGAGTACCCAAGACAAATGGATACCTGTCTCCTGATCCCCCTCCCCTGCGTCTGGCATTTAGAAGGCCCTTCCTTTTAAACCTGGAGATGATACATCCCCCATCATAGCTTGTAACCTGCAATGGACTTTTCCTCCAAAAATCTCTCCAATATGTCTTTAAAGGCATCTAGGCCAGATGCCATCACCACCTCCTGTGGCAAGGAGTGTAATTTCTCAAAAGCTGGGATACAAATCTGTAAGGCGAAGCTTGTAACACTAAAATGTTAATTCCTAAAAGAACTACCAGAAATACAGCGGCACCATATAATTTTAGAACATCGGAGTGCCTTCTATAAGAGGAAAGTCTTCACCATTTCTGGAATGTACCCAAAGATAGTCTCCAACTAAGGGTGTGATCAGATAATGAAAAAGATGTGTTGGATCACACAGGAAACAGTCACTTTGCCAGGAGTGATCTCCCTTAAAGAGACCCTTCCATTTTTCAGGGAATTGTTTCAGAGAGGCCCCAAAAAGGTCTAGACCTGCCAAATGTTGTATCTACCTGAAACCTTCTAAATGCTTATCTTCGTGAGTAGAATATAGATTTCTTTCTTTTATACAAAATAAGGCCTCCTGAGTGTTATTTCTTGAGTGCTAGTGTTTGGTGAGGGGCGGGTACAAAAGGGAACTTCTAGCTAAATTCTGCCTGAACCGGCTGGCACTTCTGCTGCGCATTGTACTGGAATTCAGTACAGTACCAAACTCTCAACACCAAAAAGGTCCAGCTTGGGAATGGATTGGGTTGGGATGGAGGGATCCTGCCCGTTTGTCATGTGATTACACAAGCAATCCAGAATGCAAACTAAATGCCTGTGATCATGCCCTCATTTCCTAAGGGAGGGAATTCCTCCGGTGTGACACTGAAGAAGTCTCAGCCTTTTTTGGCTCTGCCTGTATAATCTTGAAAGACTACACTACATTGGCCATGAAAAACTGGAACCTCCCTACATTCCCTCATCCTTCCTTTTCTTTAATCTCCCACCAACACACCTTCCCCTCCCCATATACTGTATATTGCTTCTTCTATCCCTTTTATTGTTGTTCCCTTTCAGGGGAGCTTTGTTGGGTCTATTAGTAGGGCTAAGGCGCTTTGACTTTCCCAGTTGGCCTGGATGTTTTCTGTAATGTTTGATGAAACAGAATAAATTAATTGGTAGTATTTTGAAAAACAAAGATTGTAGCACAAAGGTGTCAAAGGCTACACAATCCTTCCCCTACCTTCTTATGAATTAAAAGAAATTGCAGGTGGCAATGTCCTCGGTTAGGATAGGTTTCTGTGCGAGGTTCCAGCTTGTACCACTTATCATCCTTGCAGTGGAGGTCCTGCATATACACATAGAGAGAAATAGTGTGAAGAAACTTCAGCTTCATGGCACAGCACAAGCTTCACATGCAGGAATCCTCAACATCTCCAGATACAGCTAGGAAAGATTCTTGCCATGATCCCTGGGGATCCACGGCTACTACTAATCAATGTTAGCAGTGCTGGGATGAGATGGGCCAATGGTCTGACTCAGTATGACTTTCCTCCCAACACATCCAGGGAAATTAAGAGAGTTCTTAACAGGTGAACGAGAAGCCGGGACTCTAAATGATATTAGATTGATAAGAAAATTTAAGTAAACATGTTTTGAAATAATTCTGATTACTGAACAAGCTCTGCCCTTTAATAAATTAATTTTAAATGACAAATTTAAAATGTAATCTTAATAATTGTTGTAGGATTTTTGGGCTGTTTGGCTGAAAAACCTAAAACAACCATCAGATCCCGACCGTGAAAGCCTTCCAGAATATGTAATCTTCATAATCGGCAACACTGAATTGAGTGGCTTTTCACAGGGTTATGTGCCAGGTACCTCACACACACATAGTTCTGTCCTTCTTGTACCTCGTTTGGTGAAAAAGCTACAATGATGACTTTTTAAATTTAAAACCTATATAAATCTATAGTATAACATGGGAAATTATATCCCTGTTTAAAGGAATTTGGCCTTTTCCTCCAAGACCCTCACAAAGACCCTCTGGTAGAAGTTTCACAATATGTAATTTTTATAGATTGTTCATTCTAAAAACAATTATTCTAAAAAGACTGTAACCAGAAACATTTATTTTGGTGGGTGCAAAATTTCTCAGAGCAGAAACAGCCACTAGGTTTCCTTGAAACTGGTCCACCTTCACCTAATATAATTTTAGACCATCTGAGTGCCTTCTCTAACAGGAAAGTCTTTGCCATTTTTGGAAAGCACTAGAAGATTGTCTTAAACTCACCTGCCAAGGGAAGTTTTTCCACAGCAATGACACCACAGAAGAAAAGCAGACTATCTGTTTCTTAAGGTATTAAGCAAGAGTCTGTATCGCTAGAGAGGACGCAGTTTTTAATTGGTAAATCCTACCATCTGCATGAATACAGTACTGTAGACTTCAAGATACTTCATAGAGAACTATTATTCACAACATATAGTGTAGTATCACTCATACATACTGTATGTGTTTCAGATACTGTTAAGGAATTAACATTACCTAAGAATACTGCTGCATCTAATCTGACAGAAACTTGACTTTCACAATCACATTGATATGGAGAGGCCACTGCAATTGCTATTGCTGAATGACCTTGTGGAAGTTTTATTAACAAATTTCTCAGGTCAGCTACAGGGAAAGATACTGGATTTCAGCTTTGAGCTGTTATTGAGTTGACAAGAAGCTGATACAGCTGGTGGTACCAGCTACATAAAATTCTCATGAATACAAGCCTGCGATATCAAATCTGATTCCTACAATTTATGCTGAGAACCGAGAACATTTACTTGGATGTTTTCTACTTTTCCCAATCAGACCAGTTCACAATCACATAATACTCTCTTTAGTCTTCCTGGCTGAAGAAAAAGGCTTTAGGTTAAAGGAACTGGATGATATTTCATAGGGTTAGTCCAAGATATTTTCCATGTCTGAAGGACATCTCAAGAGACAATGGGGGACTGGCAGTTGAATCTTTCTTTAGTTGTGACAATGGGGCAGCATCCTCCATCTTACCCAAAGGCAACAGATTAGCTTAAGAGGGTAAGGGGCAAACTGCAGAGTACCCAGCTCTCTACTTCAGCACCTTGCCGCCATTTTCTATGACCTGCTGTGTCAAGGATAATTTCACACTGAGGCAGAACAAGGCCTATTGGTAATCATCAGCCATACTTTACAGGTGTGCAAAATGCTGAGTCATGCCACCGCTGCTTGAGGTGGGCAAGCGGCAGATCAAAGAGGGCCAGTCTCACAAGAAGGCCAGCCTTGTTCATTCCTGGTCTGCCTCATTGCCACAAGAAAGCCACTAACTCTTAAGTTTTGGCTTACCGTTTTATTTAAGTATCATTAGGGTGCCAGCCGAAATCTGCAACATTTAAGATTAGAATAGCTAGAGAGAGACCAAGATGCCCAGAGTAAAGACAACATGAAATATCACTCTGATAACTCACTTGCCCCCTTCCTTACCTGCAGCCGAATAACCACATTCCCCAGGAAGTCATCTTGCCCTTTGTCTTTCCGAGCCTCCTTAAAAATTCTAAGTGGTTAAAAAAACAACAACAATGAAGCAAACAGGGGGGTTAAATTAGAACAAAACCCATGAGGTTCAAAGAAACACAAAGCACACTGCATTTTCTACTTTATATGTGTGTTTGGTGGCCTGTTGCCTCTAGAGTGAAGAATAACTCTATAAAATGAAAGAAAAATATCATTGCTAGTCTATTGCTAAGCAGCCTCCCCCTGCTTTCTAAACCACACCCAAAGATGTACAACATACAATTATTTGGAAGATAAAAGGCCACAACTTTATTGGTTACAGCAGTAGTCCCTGGCCAGCACTGGGAAATTGGATGCAATGCATTGATAGACTCAAGTGCCCCCCCCATCCAATGCCCCAAACCATCCACTTCAGCTCCTGCTGAAGTTTCCACCAGAAGTAGTCATCTTCTGGAAATCACATGGCTGTGATTTCCACGGCTTTCAGTCACCTGAGGGCTGGGCCAGCAGGGCCCCCAAGCTGAGCCAGGCCAGGCCAGGCCAGGCCCCCACCCCATGCTCACTCTCCAGGGAGATTTCTTTACCTTCCTGACCAAGTTGGCTCCTGTTCCCATCCTCATGCTATTCAGATCCCACCCCAATGCCCCAAACCACCCATTGGGTTGTGACAGCAAGAAGTGACAACACAAATTCATTAAATAAAAAGCACCCCAAGCTATGAAACAACCTGAATCAATGCACCAACTCATCCCCATAACAGAGAGAAAGGGAAGGGGGGAAACACTGGTGAGTGGCAAGTGGGTGGTGACATCCTCCTGCTTTTATGCTGGGCAGGAAACCCTCCTTCTCCAGCCGGCCTGTCTGCAGTCTATTGTTTGAATTCCCTCCCTGGCCAATGTGAATCTGGCAAGGGAACCCTAGCACATGCTGGCTAATCAGAAGCCAGAGGGGTGCATGGAAATCCCCAGCAGTTGCCCTCCTTTTGCTTCACTGGGTCACTGCCAGACAGGTTCACGGGGCCCCTCAGAGCCCACCTTAGTACAGTAATAACAAGGGATCCCCAGGTGAGTCTGGACTCCCGTTTCTTACAACAAACCTTTTTAGGCCATGAAGGTCAGTGAGTTCTCCCAGTTTGTGGGTAACAGTTTCAACATCATCAGAGTCCCTGCAAGAAAGGGGTATTAAAACGTACGTATATCTCTCTTTTCAAGTTCTCCAATGAAACAAAACAAGGAACCAAAGCTAGAAGAGTAGTACCTGCACCCAAATCGAAATTTGCCAGTCTGTCAGAAGAATATTCACAGATAAAGTTTGCTGTGGGAGGATATAACCCTAAGCCTTGCCCAGGGGTTCAGAGGTCTCTGAAGAGACTGTGAATAGAGGTTTTCCTGTGATATTTTGTGTGTGTGTGTGTGTGTGTGTGTGTGTGTGTGTGTACACACAAACATGGGCAAATGCACACTCTCTCTTTAAAAGGCCTCTCATTCCAACCCACAGGAGTCTTTTTCCAACCCTAACTGGGATTTGGGAAATAAGAACTTCCCTTTATTCAAGCCGCATTATTTAGGTTTTTATAAAAACTCATACACTATTTTGTGTGTGTGTGTGTGTGTGTTATTTAGGTTTTTTAAAAAACTCATACACTACTGTATCAACTTTAAAAGACTTTTTTAAAACACCAAACTTAGCAGGCTGTGTAGGATAGGGCAGTTCTAAGCTGAGGAGGAGAGAGACTGTCTTAGAGATTTCACATTGGCTGCATCTGGATCACAGGCTGCCCATCCCTCAGCCCTGACTTATTCTGTGCTGGCATTTGGAATTAGCCTTTATTTGAACTTGAATGGATCGTCTCAAATTTTCACAGGTTGCAATTTGTACAGGGGAAATCACCCTAAATCTACTCACCACATCTCCAGATGGAATCTGGCATTCTCTATATCTTCAAATTCCCTGGAAAACACCATTTGAGAGAATATGATTATTACAACTTATCTGCAATGATAATGGTGAGAAAGGAGTAGACAAGACACACTCACCCTTGCACGCTGAAGAATTCAAGGAAGAGAGCAGGACATTTACTGGCACCCTAACATTCAGCCCTGTTCCCTGAGCAAGTTTGAAAGACCTCCGTAGAAACATGCCAGGCAGAATAATTCACGTTGGTCAATACCAAATGTGCTGCCCAAGGATGGAGATTTGTGTGCCCATTGTTATGAGGGGGCAAAGCTAGTGTGCATGATCCTGCTCCTCCTCCACATGTACACAGATAACACATGAAAGGAGTAACATCTTCCAAATGTTTTGCACAGAAGGAGAGAGCACATGAAAGAAAGAGAGAAGTCCTCTCACATACACATACATCTGGGAAATGATTTTAAATAGAACTAGAAAAGGTAAATTCTGGTTCCCCTTTTGCCTTGTAAAGAGAGATTTAAATGGCTTTTTGGTGTTCCTTACTGGTTCTCTGAGAAGTGAATGCTGCAGCTGAACTGGGATAACTAGCGCTTGTAAGTCGTAGTTTTCCTGACATCCACTCCACAACCCAAACGACACAACTCTCAAGCTTTCCTCGTTATTAAGGAGAGCCATCTAGTTTTATTTAGACTTCTCTTTTGGGCTTGCCCTGTCGTTGCAGACCACAATAGGTTTGTCAATCTGAAAAACATAAGGCCCTCCCAGCAATGGCAGCCCAGCCCTGTCCCCACCATCTGCCATCTTCCTGCCCACTGATCCAGCCCACGCACATCACTTGCTCAAAACCACATGGCAAAATAATGCAGAAGAAACTGTTTCTTCAAGAAGTCACAACCTGGCAAGGAAGAAGCAAAATAAATGCACTAAAGAGACAAAGGCATACAGGATAAAAGTCTCATCCCACACAGGATTCAGCGTCTGACTGATGATTTGGGTGCGATGGGTCTGGTCTTCAGGGATCAATTTCCTCACCACAGCCTTTGGCCGTTTCTTGTTCTCTTGAAGAGCACTGTCATTGGAAGAAGACCCCTGACTTTTTGCTTCTATCCCTAGCAGGCAGTAGGGGTCACTGAATCCTGAAAGCACAGAAGCATTCTTAGTGTGGAAATGTGCAGCATGCTTTTTTTTTCAAACAGTTCCTCTTTTGGGGTCACAACTCCCAGAATCTCGCAGCTGGTAGAAGGATTCTGGGTATTACAGTACAGAGAGAGAGAGCTTTCTAAACTCCGATTGACAGAGAGAGAGAGAGAGAGAGAGCTTTCTAAACTCTGATTGAACTCATACATTAAGGTTCCATTACAGGACTAGAGTTTATGTCGGATGCTAGATGCAAAAGGGACCACAGCCTTCCGTTCCAGCCTCCCTTGTCCCAGAACAGGACATATGTGCTGCGTGAGAAAAAAAGGGCCCTTCTCCCAGGTACCCAAACAAGGCCAGCCTTCAACCTCTCTCTTTTCCTGTTCCCTCGCATTAAAGATGGGGTTGATAATATTTTCAGCACATTTGGAGAGCAAAAGTCTGGAGGACGGCCCATTAATAAGTCTTTAACAGCAACAGATTACATGATCTGATCAGCAAAAATCTGAGTGCAATCTCAAGTGGAGTGACCAACTCATGCAATTAGACTTCTATCCTTAAATTCCAAAGTTTCTTTATTTGAACCGCAAACGCCTTTCAACTCACCGCTGACATCTTTACCCAGAATCCCTCTTGCTTGTTTCACAGTTGCTTTCAGACAAAAAATGGGTTTCTAGAAGGGGAAAAAAGAGTTTAAGCTAGCAACAAGCCAGGGTGGACAGAATGGGTCACCAGGATTGACAGGAGTTCCCTGAAGAAACAGAACAAATGCCCAGACCCAACTCACTCACTCCCTCAGTGTGGCTGCAGCAGATCTCCCACACATGTCAACTTGAACATTTTGCTTTCATGCAGAAGGACTCCCAGAATTTCCTAGCTGTCAGTACTGGTGGCTGAGGGATTCTGTGAGTTGTAGCTTTTGAGAACTAGCCTCTCCCCTCCCGCCATCTTGCATCAAGGGACAGACCCTCAATAGATGGGACAATGATTCCGTATTTAAAAGCAGTTCACATTTAAAATGAAAAAATTGCTTATTCTAACATGAGTTTGCATCAGTTCAGATTTGGCAAAGTAGCCTTCTTTTCTTTTCCAGTGGGTCAGCTGGGAGAGAGCAGGCTTCTTTTGTATGTCTGATTTCAGCCATGTAGCACTGAAAGATTTGCATGCCCATAGGAATAATATTGTAAGAGGAGAAAACAAACAAACAAGTAAACAAACAAACATACGGTGTTTGCCTTAGTTTGTGAACTGACCTGCAGCTACTATAGGTGGAGTGCATAAGTGAAGGGAAGAAAACATGGCCCTCCTCTAGTAGGCAGAAGTACAGGGATTCTGGACATCTTTTGTGCTACTATAATGTCTCCTAAACCACTTGAGAGGTCATCGGATCAAAAGAGAGAGCTTCAGTCTTTAAAATAAAATAAGAACTAAATCAAGCTTCTCTGCCTTATACTTTACCATCAGCTCTTTGACCCTCTGTAGTATGATACGATGCTCTTCTGGGTCCATATTGAAGGCCTGGTATGAAGAAGAGAAATCATTAGGACAGAACTTGGTTGTAACATGGCACATCCTCCTGGCAGGATGGGTAAAGCTTGGTGAAAAGTGGGCAGCGAGAGAGATAAATGCACTTTTTAAAACTAACCCTTTATCAGAGCTTGGGAAGGCTATTTTTTTAATACTGAATAGGGGGTTCTGGGAACTGTAGTAAAAAAAAAGGAATGCTCACAAATCCTCCCTTAAGGGTTTAAAAGGAGCTTAACCTGATCACTCAAAAGTGTTTTTTCCAAATAAAAAAGGTGGATAACCTAGAGCCACATCATTGGCATACTTTTGAAAGCCCTCATCATGTCATCTGTTCCAGCCCGGGGCATAACAACAGGCAGTTTGATGGTTATGAGGTGATAACAGGAAAGAGGAAGGCCCTGGCCCTTCACGCCACTGGCATGCACAGCTGTCAAACAGATTGTCCCACGAATACAAGCAGGAAAAAATGTGAGGGGAGGAGATTCCTCATCCTCCAGTCTATAAACTCCTTGATAGTTTGGGCGTCTGCAGACAAATGGAGAAGTCTACAGAAATATGTCTCAGTTACAGTACTTACATTTACCTCCTAATGTTTCATCATAGCTGCTTTCACATCCCCTGTATATATTATTACCTGCTCTTTCAATTAAAGGACATTTCAATCAAATTTAAGGAAGTAGCATTAATTCTGTGCCCAGACAACTATCCGAATTATTCCCACTGATGTGATTAACCTTGCTGGGGTGTCATTTACTATAAAGTAGGCTGAAATCTAAAACATATCTGTGAGACTGCAAAACAGAGAGATGTTACAGAGATGTGGATTTAGAAAATGAGTGGATTTGCATATCAAATAACATACAGCAGGGAAGAATGGATGAGCAGAAGCAATCATAAAAACAAAATGAATGGTGGAGAAAGCATATCACCTTTTTACATGACACTGTGTGTGGTTCGCCCCCCCCCCCAAAAAATAGTCACTGGAACTGGATCCATCACAGAATAGAAAAGAAATGGAATTATGTTACTCTTAAGTTATTTTCTGAGGCACATTGTTCAGAAATTAACGGCAGAGTATCTGGATCCTACCCATAGCTTCCCAGAGGGCTCCCAGTTTCAGCCCTTTGGAGGGCCCTTCTGTAAGTGCACTTCTGAAACTGCAGATATTCTTAGAGAATGAAACTATACAATAACTAAAGCTTTGCCGCGTGTATAGTGGGCTCCTACCTCTGTCACTGCTCACTGACGCTTCTTCTCCAGGGAACATGGAGAGAGAAGGAAGCTCAGAATATCAGCACTATCTCCATAACTTGTGGAGAACAACCACACTTGTACTTACAAGCCCCTTACAAGAGAACAGGGAAACGGAAACCATCATTTCACCCAGAAGCAGTGGGAGACATTGTTCAAGAAAAGAATGTAAATTGTGTAACGAAGAAAGAAGGCAGGCTCTGGGCTAGATAATGAGACAGATGGATTTAGCCCTTTAATCTGACCTTTTGCACGTAGGCATACAACTCATCCGGGTCAGCCACATGGTGAGGTTCTGGTTTGCCCAAGCGATGGAGAATGGTATACAGGACTTCTTCGTACAGCAGAGTGAGCTGCAACAATGCATTAGGAGCAGGTCAGAAACAAACCAAATCTGGGGAACTCATGGCCTTTCATAGTATGCTATGCATCTGTTAATCAAAGGGGATATATCTGTGTGCTGTATATTCGTATTCAGTCACTAACATGCAGCCGTTTCCAAAAGCTTGCTGGGCTGGATTTCATGACTGAGAACCAGGAAGCTAAAACAACCCAAAGCCCAATTGCTATGAATCAACACCTCACAGGAGAACTCCCTCTAACAGATCATGTTCCACTTTGTGCCTTTCATTTACACCCTAAAGGACGACTCCATCGCCAGCTCTAGGATCTACGGGAATCAAGTGGGAGAAAATTAGCAAACCTCCCAAGATCACCACCCAGAACAGGACCCGACCTGTGGAAGACTATGATGCACCCTGACCGGTCCTGCCTCCTCACTGTAGACTTCCAAAATCACTCCCAAGACACAAGGAGAAAAAAATAGGAGATAGTCAGGGCAGAGATCCAGATCATTGGGTGAAACAAACTCTCTCTTCCTCATGAAGAAGGTAGAGGTCGCAACTAACATGATTCTGAATCAGGGCCCAACTGATCGTCCAAGAATGGGTAGAGAGAGAGACCCCTGCTCTAGCTCCATGGGACTCTATCGCTGCACATCTCCCTTGCTGTTTTGGAAAACATGCTGTTGAAGAAATCGATTTTCTGAGGAACAGCCTATTGTTGCAAGCTATCCTTATTTTAATATACAGTACCTGCTGTTAGTTTTGTCTTCAGAGGGCACTTAAGAGTCATTAACTTTATAAAATACCTATTCCTTATTTACTGAAATGAATCCATCTAGTTGCCTAGAATTGGGGACTCTTCTTGTGGTGGTGGGGAGGCAGTGTACACACACTGTTATGATGAACACTGCCCAGAACAAATGCAGTTGGGAGAGTACAGACCAGGGCTAGGTGACTGTCTGGGTCACTTCTGCAGGGTGCAGTATGAGCCAGATGAGGAACATCTGGTTTTTCATCTGTTCCTGGACCATCAGTTGGGCTGGCAATCAAATGAGACAATTGCCTCCATTATGTCAAGTGCTGGGGAGCAGCAGCCACTGCTGCATCTGTTTGATGTGTTATTCTATAGTGGTAAGAATTTTGTACAGAATGTCCAAAAATCAATCAGATCAGTTTTGTAAATCAGCTCTTAATACTTGAGCTCATCTCGTAAAACTGGCTGGCAGAGTGTACTCCAGACATAAGAATCAAAACACGATTTCATACAACACACGGTTATCTTATGGAATTTGTTACCATAAAGATGGTGGCCACAATGGCCTCAGATTCAGGGGTCTTTAATTCAGGATTAAAGAAATCCATGGAGGAAATGCTACAAGCTAAAAGTTTTTAATTAAATCCCTTGTTCAGGTGCAAAGTTACGTTCCTGCTCTCATTTGTAGGCTTCCTAAATGTGATAACTAATTAATATGGAAAACAGGATGTTAAACTGGATGGACTTTTTGTCTGGTCCAGAACAGCTCTTGCATTCTTCAGTGATAGAAGTTAGAGTCTTACCTCTTTCCTGGAGAATTTATGGGACAGGTCCATCTACAAAGAGAGAAGAAAAATGTACTTTAACTCAGCTGCTGTGATCCACTTGATACCATTTCCATAAGAGATCTTTAGTGTAAACTCAAGCTTCTCCCGGTGCTATCTTGTTTGCCCTTTAAGATCTTCTGCTCCTGCGATAATTTCCCAGCTCTGTAATCATTAGGTTTGAGAATAAACATTTATGACAAAGATGGGCAAATCCCATCTTACAACCATTTTGTCCATGTCAGGGATAAATGACAAACAGAACTACCAACAACAACAAAAGTCATCACAACACAAAGAATGTGCATGATGTTCCTTTCAATGAGCAGGGACAGGCAACAGATGATTGCAGATTCCCCATAGCTGTTCCGGTCCCTCCCTGGAAAAAATGCCAGTTTAAAAAATGGCAAATAAGACCTCTAGAAACTTGCAGAGTAAAATGTGCAGTTAAAGACCATTTGATGGGTCCTAAGTTTCAAGACTGGAACTAGCTTTTAAGAAAGACATTAACTAACCTTAAGTAACTGCTACAGCTGGTTGCCTGGCCTTGAGCTTGTTAGCTAGCTTGTTTATTTCACTTACATCTTGACTTTCCTCTAAAAGGCTTAAGGAGATACACGTGCCCTACTTTGTCATCGCAACAGCCTCTGAGGGGTTCAGTGAAAGTGACCAGTGAAAGGTCACCCAGTAAATGTCAGGCTTTGTGGGGAGGTCTCGGGCATTTCATGTCCAAGGTACCACAGGAGTCCAGAGTAATTACAAGTGCCACCTTCTTCTCCCCCAAAAGGCAGAGAGGGGAAGAAGAAGGTGGCACTTGTAATTACTACATAACTGGCCCCTGCAGTCACTGTTTCTGATCCACTAGCAAAACACAATGGGTTGTTGGTATCAACATTTATTGAAGGCAATTGTATGGCTTCAAGCACACCGCAAGGACATTTAGGGCAACTATTAGGAGTGCGATATCTAGAGACAGAGAATAGCAGGTTGAAGAAAGGAAAGGTTCCCTTCGGTACAATAGCTGTGCTATACATTGCACAAGAGATGGAATGTTTAAGAACACAACATTTCAGTTTAGGCGAAGGTTCTCTCACTGTTTTCAGAGGAAACTTGCTGAGGAGAGGCCTGCTGGAAAATCAGACTCAGACGGCTGAACTTAGCGTGAGGAATTGCCGGCTACACAAAACCAATATTAAATGTTAGTGTGCACATGGGGTGTATAACGTGCCAAGTGACTAATAAACAGATGCACTGAGTCTGTGGATCTGGTTTTGAAAGTTACAAAATACACTCTGGAAAAAAATGTTCCAGGAAGTGAACACTGTGGTTGCCTTGACAAGTCTTCACAGTTAACACACTCTTCTCAGCATGCGGATAACATGCTGTGTTTATGTGTGAAAGTCTAGCTGAGACCACTCTTGAAAAAGCCTGCAGAAAAGCAACAACCAAGCCAAGGAGAAGGTAACCAATGTGCCTGTTGCTCCCACAACAGTCTAGAGTAGAAATAGGCAAACTCGCCTTTTCGGTTGGTAGGCTTGTCCTGGTTATCTGCCACAAGGGCATATGCCTACTGTACTGTGAAATGGTTTGTAGGAAAAAACTAAGGACTGGGAGAAATCTGGGCCAATTTGCGTATGTGTGGGAGATGATGACTATCTTGTCACACCTCTTTCACGAACCCCTTAATACTTTTTAGTGGCTTTCAATCCAATTCTGCCCTGCTCACTCCACCAATGGTGAATGATCAAGATTTTCCATTTGCTAATAATTACTAACACAAGATAATTAGATTAATCCTTCTACAAGGATAAGGAAGGCTTAAGATCCGCTTCCATTCATAGAGGTGGATCTAGCAGTGTGGGGTTTGTTTGTTTTTTGTCCCTTCCATGTCTTTCGAGTACAAGATTGCTTTTTAAAAAAAGGTTATTCGAACAGCATTTTACATATTTTCATAACAAACAGTACCACAACAAGGATCTTGAAGTACTGCTTGGGATCTGCCCATTTGCAAAAGGCATCATCATCCCATACCATAGTGGATGAGAGCAGTGGGATAGAGCAATCTGATTCTTAGAGGACAGGTCTGCTTATCAGACAGCTACTTATCAGACAGCTTCAGTATCTTAGTAGGCTGAAGCAGAACATGAAAAAGAAAGAAAAACAGGCAAGTTGTTACCTAAATGATACAAATAGTAGAAAGACAACATACTTTTCTGCTGTCCTTTTCCAGGATTTCAGACCCTGGGGTCTCACCATCAGCAGGGTCCATGCTGCGGAGGATTAAAGAAAGCCTGACCTGAGTGGAGGACGGTGTCACCGGCAAAACGTCTATTCAGTTCAGGAAGGCGCTAGACCCTGAAGTCAGAAACCTGTCCCAGCTGGCTTACTGTTCCCATCAGCTCTCACATGCTTAAGAGGAAACCACATTCTTTTATCATACTCTGACCAATGTAACAGCAAACGGAAACATGCAGCACTCTCTCACACAGTTGAAAGAGATGTCGATTATCGAGCATGTGGCCATGTGGAGTCCCTTAGAGTCATATGGCTCATTCCAAAGGAATGACTCCTTTCAGGCTGGACCTGACTATGAGGCAGAATGAGGCAGCGTACCTTAACCTGCCAATGTTGGGTGTCCGGAAGAGGCAACAAACTCTTAGCTATTAAATGTGTTTCCCTTGCAGGTGCTACGGGATTTTCTGCTTAATGTACCCAAGTGCCTTGGCTGGCTTTTGGTATTGCCTGTCTTGACTTGACCTGATGGGGAGAGGTGCAATCATTTGCTGCTCCACTTCCATAAGCAAAAGACCACGGTCTGACTCTGATCAAATTTTCTTCAACTGGCTTCCCTATGGTCACAAACAACCACCTGATAAAGTAAGGGTGTGTCTCCACAGAGAACCCATTGCCCCTTGGATCATACCAAATAAGGCTCCCAAAGGGTCACTGGAAGTATGCTATGGCATTTAGATCAATCCTTTCTTTCAGATACCAACATGTACTTTTCAAAAGTATTTTTGGGGTGGGAAACTACACAGAACCTAAAATCACTCCAGTTTCCAAAAGTATACAAGTCATGTCCTTAAAGTCTAAAAAAGAGCTTTAAAACACAAACAATGCCTAGAGGGCGGCTGCTCCATCGACAGACAGACCAAAGTGGAATGAACCAACCCACACCCCACAAACAGAACAACCTGACAAGGTCTCAGAAAGATTGGGTAGGGGCACATTCTGGGGATGGATTAGTTCACTCTAGTGGCTACATCATCTGATCACCAGAAGAAGAAGAAAGAGTGAACCAACCCATACATGCAGCACAAGATAAAAATAGCAGGACAAACACCCATGTGATCAAGTCCCTAACCTGACATGGTAGAGTAACAAATTATCTGAACAAATGAAATAAGTTCATGTTCCAGTTGGAATGCCTCCTCAAGGTAGGGACCACATGAGCAACCTTAGCAGTGTGCAGCAAGCTAAGGAGAGATGTGGACTTCTACGAGAGCACGGCCAAACCCCAACCCATGGCACGCACATGGCGAAGTAAAGTCCTGGCGGCAAAGCCAGGCTGAAATGTTCATCAGCAAGTCTCTTCTTTCCACTTGCCTTTGTGCTACTGCAGATGACGGGTCCTCCTTTCTCCTAAACTTGTGCCGGAGCTTTGTGATGTTTCAGTTTTCCTACGAGTTTTACAATATTTCCCCATGAGTAGGTACAGCCCCTGGCGCCTGCTTTCCTGTTCAAGTTTGTCTGATGGCCCTTTCTTAGGGGGAGTTTTCTGTCAGTTACATGAAGTGACTGGTGACCCTTGTGCTTCTATCCTCTTTCTTCAGAAACAAGTATGCTTCAGAGTTCTTTCTTACAATTAATAGGTTGGAAATTGCAAAACCTGCTTGTTACTTTCCAAGCATCTCCGTCATGATGCAACTTGTTTGTGGCATGAAAGAAACCTAGAGGAAGATAAGATCTCACTGACCGACTGATATGTCAATGAATCCTGGTTTTAGTCCGAATATTGCACAACCTATCCAAGTGGCTGAACCTATTTGAGGGGAGAGGGTTCAGCACAATGGATAGCATCTGCGGGTTCAAACGAAAACCCACAGCGTATTCACGGGCTCACTGACATCCGAGTCCCCAGCCTTTTCTGGAAGGCTTGCAGTGCCTCCTTTGGTCTCAGCAACAAACTCTCTCAAGCATAAAACAAACTAAGACTGTACCTAGAAGCACATGCCATGCCCTCACTGAGAAATAAAAGCCATCCTTCAAAACTTTTCAAGCAAACATCTGGAGATTTAATCCAAGCCTTTTATATATCACTAGACCAACATTCCTGCCAACCTAGCAATTCGACAACATGTAAAAATGCGAGTAGATAAGTAGGGACCAACTCGGTGGGAGGGTAACAGTGTTCCATGTCTAAGTCGCACTGGCCACATGACCACGGAAACTGTCTTCGGACAAACGCTGGCCCTACGGCTTGGAGACGGAGATGAGCACCATGCCCTAGAGTCAGACACGACTGGACTAAAATGTCAAGGGGAACCAAGACCAACATGCTCCTGTTCTGTTCTGTTTTGCTTGAACATTGTCTAAATTGTACCATAGTGTAAACCTTTCCCCTCCAACTCTTTTTGAATATTATTTTCATCTTGCTTCTAACAGGATGATTCAAACTACACTGAGGACTGTAAAGCACTTTCGTGCTTCTTACATCTTCTTGTTTTGTCTGCTCTCTCCTTGAGGTTGCTTGGTGTGTGTTTTTAAAGAGATGATATTATATATCCCAAGTCTCTATAGTTATGGATAGGGGCTGCAATAATATGAGTATGTAATAAGCAGCATAATGTAGAAAAAAAACATTACTTCATTATTTTTTCCTAGCTCAATTACATGATGCAGTAAGCCATTGGGAAACTAAAGCTTTAAACATTGATTTTTAAAAAGTAATTTATTACAGCCATGGCTGCAATTATAGTTATATTTTGAGATGTTCCTTTTGTTCTTAAAGA